GAACACTTCCAAATTCATTTACAAGGCCAACATTATCCTGATATTAAAACCAGATAAGGACAATACAAGAAATGAAAGTTACAGGACAATATTTCAAATGAACATAGGTGTAACAATGCTTAACAAAATACTAGCAAACCAAATTCAACAGAACATTAAAAAGATCACACATCATGACAAAGTAGATTTATACCTGAGATTTATCCCCTAGGATAAAAATTATATGATCATCTTAATAGATGTGGACAAAGCATTTGACAAAATTCGATATCATTTCATGGTAAACACTCTCAATAATATAAATATAGAGGCAATCTACCCCAAGGGAATAAAGGTCATACATAAAAAGCTCACAGCTAACATCATATTTAATGGTGAAAAGCTAAGAGTTTTTTCTCTAAGATCAGGAACATGATAAGGATACCCACTCTCACCATTTGTATTCATTATAATACTGGGAGTCCTAGCCAGAGCATTTAGGCAAGAATAGAAATGAGGCAGCCAAATAAGAAAAGAAAGAGTAAAATGATTTCTGTGTGCAGATTATATAACCTAATATATAAAAAACTCAAAATACTCCAAGAAAATACTGTTAGAACTAATAAACAAATTTGGTAAAATTTCTTGATACAAAATCAAAATATAAAATTCAGTAGCATTTCTATGCTACTGAGAATAGATCTATTCAAGAATGAGTCATTCAAGAATGAGCTATTCAAAAAATAAATCAAGAAAGCAATACCAACAATAGCATAAAAATATAAAATACTTAGAAATGAATTTAACCAAGGAGATGATAGATCTGTACACTAAAAACTACAAAACATTGATGAAAGTAATTGAAGAGACAAATAGATGGAAAGATAGCCCATGTTCATGGATTAGAAGAATTAATATTTTTAAAATGTCCGTAATGCCCAAACCAATCTACAGATTCAATGCAATTGTTATCAAAATTTTAATGGATGTGGAAACAACCCAAGTGCCCATCAATACATGAGTGAATTAATAAAATGTGGTATATGTATATCGTGGAGTTCTACTCAGCCACAAAAACAATGGTGATTTAGCACCTCTTGTATTATCCTGGGTGGAGCTGGAGCTCATTCTACTAGGTGAAGTATCACAAGAATGGAAAAACAAGCAACCACGTGTACTCACCATCAAATTGATATTAACTGACCAATACTTAAGTGCACATATAATGGTAACATTCATCAGGTGGGTGTGGGGCAGGTGGGAGGGGGAAGAAGGGGATGGGTAAATACACACCTAATAGGTGCAGTTCACACCATCTAGGGGATGGACATGCTTGAAGCTCTGAGTTGGGTGGGGCAAAGGCAATATATGTAACCTAAACATTTGTAGCCCCGTAATATACTGAAATAAAATAAAATAATAAATAAATAAATAAAAACAAAAAATTAATGGCATTTTAATACAAATAGAAAAGAAAAACAATTCTAGAATTCTTATGGAACTACAAGAGACTCCAGAGAGCTAAAGCATTCTTGAGGACAAAGAACACTACCTGATTTGAAAATATACTATAAAGCTATAGCAATCAAACCAGCATGGTATTGGCATAAAAACAGACACATAGACCAAGGGAACAGAATAGAGAACCCAGAAAAAAATTCATACATTTATTGTCAATTGATCTTCATCAAAGGTTGCTAGAACATAAAATGGTGAAAGACCAGACTCTTCACTAAATGATGTTAGAAAAACTGGATATCCACATGCAGAAGAATGAAATTGGACATTTATCTGGCACTATATCAAAAAATCAACTCAAAATGGATTAAAGACTCACACATAAGCCATGAAACTATAAAACAACTTGAAGAAAATACAGGGAAAAGACTTTTTGATAAGAGTCTGGGCAATCATTTTTTGGACATGACCCAGAAAGCACGGGAAACAAAAGCAAAAATAGACAAATGGCATCAAACTATAAAGCTTCTGCACAGCAAAGGAAATGATCAACAAAGTGTTGATTCTTTCCACAAATGGGAGAAAATATTTTCAAACCTTACATCTAATAAGGGATTAATATCCAAAATATATAAGAAACTAAAACAACTGAATAGCAATAAAACAAATAATCCAATTAAAAATGAGCAACAGACATGAATAGACATTTTTCAAAAGAATACATACAAATGGCCAAAAATTTTATGCAAAAATATTCAACATCATTAGTCATCAAGAAAATGCAAAGCAAAACTATATACAATGAGATGTCACTTAACACCTTTTAGAATGGCTATGACCTAAAAGACAAAATATAACAAGTGTTTGCTGAGAGTGTGAAGAAGAGGGAACCCTGGTACACTATTGGTAGAAATGTGAATTAATACAGCTATTATGAATAATAGTATGAAAGTTCCTCAAAAATAAAAATAGAACTACCATGTGACTGAGCAATCCCACTTCTAAGTGTATGTCCATAGGAAATGAAATCAGTATGTTGAAGATGTATAATGTTGATTGCAGCACTGTTCACAATCACCAAGGTACAAGATCAACCCAAGTATTCATCAGCAGATGAATAGATAAAAAATGTGGTATACATACAAAATGGAATATTATTTAGCCTTAGAAAAGAAGGAAATCCTGTCATTTGCAACAACATGGATGAACCTAAAGGTCCATTATGAACCATTATGCTAAGTGAAATCAGCCAGGCACAGAAAGAAAAATACTGCATGATCACACCTATATGTGAAATCTAAGAGTTGAACTTATAGAAGCAGGGAGTAGAATATAGTGGTTGCCAGGAGCTGGGGATGGAAGATGGAGTAGGAAATAAAGTGATGTTGGTCAAAGGTTTCAGTTAGACAAGATAAGTAAGTACTGGAGATCTGTTATACAGCTTAGTGACTACAGTCATCCTTTGGTGTGCTTGAAGGATTGGTTCCACGAATGCCTAGTATATCAAAATCCACCCATACTCAATACCCACAGTCAGCCCTGCAGAACTCGTGTGTACAGAAAGTCAGTACTCCATATACAAGGGTTTCACACCCATGAGTACTATATTTTCCATTCACATTTGGTTGAAAAAATTCTGGTATAAGTGGACTTAGGCATATGAAATCCACGTTGTTCAAGGATCAACTGTATAGTTAATGATAATATATGGGATATTTGAAAATTGTTAAGAGTAGATGTAAATGTTCTTAGCATGCATAAATAATTATGTAAGGTGATATATATGTTAATTAGCTTGATTGTAATAATCATTTCACTATATATATATATCTCACAACATGTATACCATAAATATATATAATTTTTATTCATCAATTGTACCTCAATAAAATTGTAATAAATAAAAAATAATAAAGTAAATAAAAAGAAAAAAACAGACACAAAAGAATATGTTCTGTATGGTTTCATTTATCTGAAGCTTAACGGTAGGGAAAATGTTGCTGTTGGTAGAAAATCTGAATCATTGTTGGTTCATGAAGGGGCTGCAGAAATGACAGGGATTGGTGATAGGTACTAACTGGGATGAGGCCTAAGGAAAATTTGGGGGAGCTGAAAATGCTCTATACCTTAATCTGAGTGATATTATTGGCATATATAACTTTTACCTTCAAAGACAGGTTTAAAAAGTAAGAAACACAAAATGCATGACTATTAGACCTGGAAAATACTTATAAAGTTATTTAATCCCATTTCCTCACAACTGATAAATAAACTAAGACCCAGAGTTAATTAGTGACTGAGACAGAGTATAACACAGATGTTCTCTGTCCCAGAGTGTCATACAGAAAACAAAGTCAGGATATTATTCTTCATAGTCAAGTCCTCTCCAAGCTCTTGAGCTCTGTAGCACAACCCTGACAATAAAAAATATAGATAAAGCTATTGAATATATATGGGTACTTTTTCCTTTCAATTCACAATTTTAAAACGTGTCTTTTAGGGAGGTGGTAGAGACAGAGTTTAAAAGCCTGGATTCTGGGGTCAGATGGCCTTGCCATTGTATTTTTACTCCACTGTTCACTCCCTCTTACCTATGATGCATGTAAGAGTTCTTGCTTGTGTTAGTTCCCTGTAACTGTGAAATTAAAGTGCCATAAATTAGGCGGTTCAAACAACATCAATTTACTGTCTCACAGTTCTGAAGACCAGAAACCCAAGATCATAGTGTCAGCGGGGTTGCGTTGTTTGGATGTCAACAAGGGAGAATCTGTCCAAGCCTCTCTTCTAGCTTCTGATGGTTTCCTCGCAATCTTTGGCATTCCTTGGCTTGTAGATGAGTCACCTGGATCTCTGTCTTCATGTTCAATTACAGTAAAATCCATAGTCTTTCAGCCGACCACACATCCTAAATACTCAGCTCCTCTTCCCTGGTTCCTGCTGCTCCAATCTCAGCTAGCTCTTCCTTGCTCACTGGGTTTCAGTTCTTTTGACCTCTTTGGTTTTTATTGAACACAAGGCAAGTGCTGTAGTGTCCTCTTATCTCTTATTCTTATTATGCTGTTTCCTCTGTTGTACACATGACTCACACCCTCACTTTATTCAAGTCTCTAAATAGATGTCTCCTCAGAGAGGATTTCCTTGAATAAAGCAGTAGTCTGAATAAAAGAGCAATAAATAGACCTCCCCATCCCACTACCTACCCTGTTTCCCTACCCTGTTTCTTTTTCCTCAATAGCATTTATGACATACTTAGTTATTTATATCTGTCTTCTTCCCCTAGAATGCAAGCTACAGATCAAGAACTTTGTGTCTTTCGTTTAATTCTTTGTCTCCAATATTTCCCTGGTACAAAATAGGATTTCAATAAATACATTTTGAGGGATGGTTGAATGAATGAAAGAATGTGCTTTGAACAGAGCCTTTTACATAATGAGCTCTAAATAAGTATTATTTATAATTCTTATTCCTAATTAATTTTTCCCAAAATAGTCACTGCTGTGATCAATTTTCTGTATGCTTTTTTTCTTCTCTTTTATCCTGCTCCGGAAATGTCATGCTCAAAGAGAGAACTACATTCAAACCAAAGACAAGATCCAGTGTTCAAGTGTGATGATAAAATGGGATGCCTGGCAAATATTCCTCGAAATCTTAAAAAGTGTAAGCACTCTGGAAGCCTAGGCTCACTGAAAGTCACCAAATTAGAAGTTTGGTTAACAGATGAACAGTGAATTCCCTTATTCATTAATTTCATAAATCAATAATATCCATCTTCACATGTGTGGCCTTTTTTCCTTCTTTCCAAGTTCCAGCCCAGCGGAGATGTCCACATGGGCTGTCTATTTTCATCACTTCCAGACATGATTTATCCCTCCTCAAATGCCTAGAATTTTAGACCTCTGTCAGAGCATTCATCACTTACTAGTTTTAAATTGTCGTTACTTGCATTCATATCTCACTTGCCTTACTAAATTGTAAGTTTCATGAAGGCCAGGAAAGTGTATTTTATCTGGTCCTTGGATGAGTGACTCAGAAGTGTTTTTGAATAATGAAAAAGGACTTAATTAAAATTAAGCAAACAGGAAACATACTTATTTCTTTTTATAGTTGTGAAAAACAACTGTGAAATAGTCCTTGCTCCTCTAAGAGGAGGTAATAAATTAAATAGACTCATTTTTTTTCATTAAACTATTAACATCCCTATCCACTTATTGCATGAAGATGGACTTGGATCATCTTTTCTTGTCCCTTTGGTGTTATTGAAGGTAGAGATGTGGTTTTACTTTCCTTATTTGAGACTTATTATCTATAAAATCAAGACTGTAACCCTTTCATACTTGTAGGGCTGTTTAATGAGCTAATCATCATCATACAATGCATTGTGACTCCTGGAGTAAAGGCATTCTATGCGTGCAAAGGGGTATTATTCTAGAAGAGTTATGACATGGGCAGTCTTTGGCTCGTGGGTGGTGTAGGTGGAGTGAGGTGATGAGACAGCAACAAACATCACTGAATGTAGAAACAGGGAGTGAAAACTTGCCTGGTGGGATGTTGGTGGAGAGTTGGCCTCACTGAAACTGCTGAAAGAATAGCAGCATTATTTCAGCATTATTAGAAACTTAGAAACCCTGCCATAAAAGAACAGTAGGGTCTTACATATCAACTTTTCATTTAGCAAAAATGAATTGATTGCAGTAGCTTCAAAGGTAGGCATGATAAAAACCAAACCAAAAAAGAAAAAAAAAACAGATTGCCTTAAATATTAAATCCATTTAAATCACTTAGTTCATTTATTTATTCCTTCAGCAAATACATAAATTAGTGCCTCTCATGAGTCAGGCCCTATTTCCTTTCCTCATGAAACTAACCTTTGTGTGCAGAAGGACAGACATCAAATATGTAAACAAGTAATTTGGTTAGTAGCAACACTTGGAGGAAGGGTTGTTATGAAAGTGAGGCATAGGACATAGCTGAGGGTGGAGGTGCTAGTTCCTTTAGGGTGATCAGGAAAGACCCCACTGATAAGGTGACTTTTGAGTAGTGTCTTGAAAGAGAGAGCCAAGCAGGTATACAGGGAAGACATGTGCAGTAGCTATTGCAAACCTCATGGAGGAGCATGCTCAGCATTTGATGTGAGTTCATGCTTGCTGCTGCTAATCCCACCTGCTAGGTGTACAGCCAATTGATACTACTTAATTTGGTTATCGGAATAAGTTTGGTTGCAGTGTAAAAAAATATGCATTCATAAGTCACCTAATTTTGTTCCTTTCAGTTGACACAAAAAGTATCTGGGCAACTAAATTTGAGGGTAATTTATTCTGAAAATAAGGTAGGGTACACACCCCCCCCACACAGAGATAACTCTGGTATTAGTCACCAGCATGGACAGAAGGCCACCCTTTTGGATGAGTAATGTCCAGGCAGAGAGGAAGCACTGCCTGTTTCAATGCCTTGTACATCAAAGCAGTGGTAATGGTGCAGCTACATACTTTAAGAAGAAAAGGGCAAGTTATCGTCATATGAGTAGACATCTGAAGCTCCTTCTACCAATAATTTAGTGGCTTAGTGGCTCTAGCAGACTATAGTAAAGTTGAGCCAGGTCTGGGCACCACATTGCAAGTCTCCTATTTAGAAAGGAAAATAAATCATAGTCAGATTTGTTTTCTTTTGATAATCGTACTAACACAATTGGACTAAGTCAAACCAATTGTTTTTCTTCGGTTCTGCCAGATCAGGAACTAAGCTATTAGAGCAAATAGATAACCTTCAAATTTCATGTCCCACCTCCACAACCACTCCTTCTGGAATTCAAGGGAAGATAAAAAGTCTCTTTTTAAATTAGAATATCTGAGTGTATTATACAGTTCTCTGGTCTTGATTTATGTTTTACATAATCTGACTTTAAAATTTAAAAAGTTCCTTCCTGTATCTGTAGAGGGTGGAGTATAGGAATGGAAAACATCTCTGGCTTTGTCATTATGACTTCTTTGTATTTAAACAATGCATTCGCCACCTGTTGGATTATCAGAACAGTGGGCGACTAGAGGTTTTTTTTTTTTTTTTTTTACCTTTCATCTTTCTGTTCTCACTCCCACATACCTGATTTCCTACTCCACTCCTAATCTCAGATTTGTGGAGGACTGTTTTCACCCTTGTAATCCATCGTTCATGTCAATAGGTAATGTTTCATGTGTGCAGTGAAAAGTGGCAGAGCGAAGTCACTCTACGCTTCTACTTGTTCTGAAACTAATCTATAGCATGTTCATATTACATAGAGTTGCACTGCTACCATTATTAACATTTCCCTGCTTATCTATAAGCAAAAGCCTTGCAAATACTCCCAAGACCTGTGACTTTCTACTTTCATGAAATGCCCTGCATCTTTTTCTTGCATTTATTTCTGTTTCCAAAAGTTTTGAGAATGTCATAACTGGAAGTTAAGTTCTTTGTGTTTCATATGGATTTTGCAGTAATGGTATGAAAAGCACATCTTTCCACTAACAGATGCAAGATGTGAAATTGTTGGTTACCAAAATTAGAGATGTTCATGATAACAAAACTTACTATATAATGTGTACACAAACATACATGGATATATATTAACTTTCTGCAAATTGCATAATTTCTATCTAAATAAAGCACAGTAATTTTGTTTAGAAGTATGGCTTTCTGGCAATGCATCATAGTTTATTGCCTTTCTCCAAATTGGTTCAAATTTACTTAAGTGCTTGTTCTATACTCCTAATGGTTATGTTAAAGAACGAAACATCAAGTCATAATCATTTTACTTACCTAATTTATTTGTAGATAATCTTCTATTAACTTTTTGCTCTTTTATTCCAAAGCAACACACAAAATGAAGAAATATGCAAAATTGCTGATATACACAACCTGCATGAAAATCAAAATATCAAGATAAAAATTAATAACATCAAATATGTATATGATTCCCAAGTGTCTGACATTATCCAAGGTTTTAGTGTTTAAGTCCAGGTCATTGGCTGGATTCTAATATGAACCAGCTATGTCTTTGACCAAAAAGTAGAAACTATAGATGGGTCAAGGGAGAGCATTCATTTTTATCATTTTGAAAACCCTCCCCTACTATGTCTGTTGCATTCTGTGAACAGGAGTTAGCATTTTTTTACTAGACACCAATCTTTGAATTTTTGACATTTTTTTTGTTTATACTGGAATAAATGATATTGTGGAACTATAGACACAATCTTAATCATGCATTTACATTTGTTAATTTTAAAGGAAGATATCACTTTCTAAGACAAAATGAAGCATTTGTGGGTAAGATGTCCATTTTACTGAGACCCAGTTTTTTAATGAATTATTCACTCTTGAAGAAATGGTGACTAAAATCACAATCATCAAGGCATAACTCACTTGGAGTTCTAAGCTTTAAATACACAGGAGACCAACTGGATCATCCAGTATGACCTAATTTCCTGACCCTGGTTCCCTCTTGCTGAATTTCCATACTTGGAAACTGAGTGCACATTTGAATGAGAAAAGAAAAGAAATCCACCCAAGAGTGGTTGGTTAAAAATGTATCTATGCAGTAAATCTATACACCACTGTGTAATTATAATAACATAAACAACTCCACTATAAGGACATTCACATCAGACCTAATTTCATGCTGAACTATTATAATGCAATTAACAGCCTCATAGTCCTGTTTTAATTAAGCTCTGTTGTGAAATATGCAGCATTTGAACCTGTTCCGGCCTGTTTCGTCTACCATTGAATTACTGTCCTTAACTTGTTTTTCTGCTGAACAACGAATTTCAATTAAGGATTACTGTTCATGGGTCTGGCATTTTGTAGGTTCTCCTAGGTTTTTGTGCCTCCAGATCGAGGCCAACTTTAGCCCCTCAGATGTGTCCTATATGTGTAATCTCTCGACTCACTTGTCTCAATAGATTTACTAACTCGCGCTGGGCTCTCCTAGAAATGAAGGGACATATTTGATTGGTTTAATGAAAGAGATTTTAGATGACAGGAGAGAGACTTGTGGAGCTAACTTCAGATTATGTAGGGCACAGTAGCTATCTTCTGATGTATCATTTTGCAGAAATCCTAAATGAACTCTAAATTTCCATGGATGTTATTTAGTCTGCCAAATAGTTTAACGATTACTCACTAGAAAATGAAAAACAAAGACACATACAGAAAATGCAGTTTATAGAAAAATCATATCCTGCTTCCTTCTTTGTATCCCTCACCTCCTCTAGGCAAGAATGTGCAGGGTGTCTGGTATTTGCCTTAACAGATCTTTCCCTTCCTCTATTTGGATTGTCTTCATGACCTGAAATAAAATTAAATGAGAAATATTATTTATGAACATTCAATTTGGTAATTGAATATCACAGGTCAGTTTGCTGAGCAGCTGGCTCCTCAACGGCTCGTTTTAAGGGCATAGATCTCAAAGTCAAGCAAACAAAGTGGCACAGGTTCACCTCCACCCACACCGATTGTTCAGAAATGAGTCACATGACCTAAGAAAAAACAAATGGTGATTTCTTCATCACTCCCCACTTCAGTATCTGTCCTCTGATCAGCCTCCCTTCAGGTTTCATCCCTATTATAAAACATCCATGTTCTTCTTCTTCTTCTTTTTTTTTTTTCTTTACCTTGCCCTACTTTCTTAACCCTGGGGAGAATTTTAAGAAGTTTTCAAAGCTAAGCATCCCCAATTGCTTGAGGCTGTCTTTGGCTG